AGGAAATTACGAACATGTTTTATACATCTGTTGATCATCTCATAATTATATAACATGTACTAAAATATTTTTATTATATATCGAAAATATGACTGCTATCTAACAATTATATGTTTATCATATTTATGAAAATTGAAGGTTTCTGTAAAGCATTTAAAACATTTGATGCTGCAACGGAATAGGAAATTGACAATTTGTGGGAATCAATTTTACAATTGGATCCTGATTTAAATAAAGATACTACTAGACAATTTAAGCATGTTAAAAATATGGTAAATATTTAATTTATTGACATATTAAAAATTTATAAACATAATTACTAATTTTATTCTTATATTTTACAGTCAAAATTTAATGAATTTTACGATCATTGTTGCCAAAAACGCCACTATTTCTTTGAAATAAAAAAGTGTGGTAATGAGTTTTGCGAAATTTGTCAGCCACTTTCTGGGGATAAACAAATGTTTGAAAAATTAGCCAATTTTCCTGATCCAGTGCCTGGTAATGAAAATCACTATATGCCATTTAAAGAAATATATGGAAAGGAAACTGATGAAAAGCACCGACCATCACTCAAAAGCAAATCTAATAATAATACCACTGATTCTAATGATTTACAGAGGGTGATCAAAATTATCCGGCCACTTTAAAAATAAAAAATTTTTATATAAAAATATGAAAAAAAAATAAAAATTTAAAATCAATGTTTTTATTTATGATTTAATTTATTAAATTATGTAAAAATTAATAATTAATTCTATTGCCATTTGCGGCAATAACTGCCTCAATTCTCTTAGGCATACTATTAACCAATTTTTTATAATATTCCAGAGGAATATCTTTCCACGCATCTTTAACATATTTTTCAAGCACTTTAATATTAGATGGTGGTGGTGTACGACGGCGAACCATCATTTTCATTTCTGCCCAAAGGTTCTCAATTGGATTGAGATCAGGACTTTGGGCAGGCCAATCAAGCACCACAATTCCAGCGTTTTCGTGTGCAGCCGTAGCAACCTTTGAACGATGTGGTGGGGCATTATCTTCTTGGAAAATCCCATTACCTTGTGGAAAATGCCTTTGTAAAGTAGGTACAACATAATCCTTAATGGTTATAGCGTGTGTTTGACCAGTAACTGAACCATTTAATGGAACAATTGGTCCAAGTCCATTCCAGGAAAAACACCCCCAAAACATTTTGCTAGGACTATGCTTTACAGTAACTGAAATACAGTCAGGATTTAATTCTTCCCCAGGTTCACGCCATACCTTTCCCTGACGTCCTTGTTGAAACTGTGTAAAAGTGCTTTCATCAGAAAAAAGCACACGTCTCCATTTTCTTGCACTCCAATTTTCATGCGCATGGGCCCATTCAAGACGAGCCTGACAATGTGCTTCTGACAGTGCAGGTTTTTTACGAGGTATACAAGCTGTTAACCCAACTTTCTTAAGGTTACGGCGTATAGTAATAGCAGAAACAGGTTGTTCTGTACGTGCTGTCCATACTGTAGCAAGCTTTTTCGTGCAAAGTCGGCGGTTTTCACCATTTTCTTGAACAAATTCTTTAAGCTCTTGTTGAGCTGGTGAATTAAGAAGGGGTGGACGACCAGTTTGTTTTTTTGGTGTTAAGGAGTGTGTTTCATGAAAGCGCTTAAGTATATCATTAACAGTTGTTTTCCCACATCCCAACTGTTTAGCAATTGTACGACTTGATTGTCCACAATTATGTCCATAAACAATTGCGCCACGCGTTTTTGGGGTAAGTGGCTTCATATTTTTAGAATGTTCTAGAAAATATGAAGTTAAGGGGTATGTTTATCATGATTATAAATACAAAATAATGTATTGATTACATCATGTTATTACGTCATGATCGGCATAAATTTGCCAAAACAAAGTGGCCGGATAATTTTGATCGCCCTCTGTACAATTAAAACTAACACAACAATATGTTCGTAATGTGGGTCAATGTGTTTTGTGTATTGAATGCAATAGACCAAGAGTTTTATATTCTAAATGTAAAGTCAAACAGGAGATGATTCGAAAGTTGCATTCATTTTTAGAGACTGTTGATTATAGTTGTGGTGCTACTTTTGCGGATCTTACGGATTTATCTTTTGCTATAAACTCAAAAGCAAGAGAAAATTTGAATACAAATAGGGAAGGTACAAGCAATATGGAACAAGATCAAGAAAACAAAATGGTTAGAGATTTGTTTAAAGATATTTTTGTAAATGCAAAGTTGAGTTGTCAACAGGAAATGGGAAGAACTTATTACTCTGCCAAATGTTTCATGGCAGTATGCTTTAATTGTGGCATTGCTGACATTGAAATTCCAAGTAGCAATGATACCTATCCATACTGTAATGAATGTGAGACAGGTCCCGGATTTAAGCGAAAACGTGAAAAAGGTTTAAAGTTTGGCGGTGAAGAACATCAAAAGAAAAAAGCCAAAAAAGCTTAGCCAAACGGCAAACGGTATATCTATGTCACAAAATTAAGATTAATGCAAATTTATATATAGTAATTACAGTGCAATTTTTGTAATTGATATTTTGCGTATTTGATATTAATATAATATAAATATTAACCTGCTTCATAAAATTTTATTAGTATATTGATCACGTGATAAAAATAATAAAATTTTCGAGTTTTCAGATTTGAATCACACGGCCGGTGATGAGAAACATGTAATTTTATTTGTTTTGCCTTTTAATAAAAATATTATATCTAACCGAATTTTTATAATTGTAAATTATTAGCGAAGTTTCAGCCATTTCTAGATGAAACTGCTAAATTTTTTGTCATTACGTCCAAAGTTTTCAGTCTTTCTGGATCTCTGGTATTATAATTAAAAATTACAGCTTTTTTAACGAGATTATTTAAATAAATCATTGAATCTTCTTTTCTTAAATCATCAATTTTCACAGCATTCAACCAGCGTCATAATACAATTATTATTTTTCTTCATCAATAAAATCATCAATAACTTCTTTCTGCAGTAAAGTTGTTTCAAGAATACCTTGTCACAAAATATTATTATAATATTTCGGTTAAATAATCATATCTGTCAATTGAAAGCTGAAAAGAAAAAGAGAAGAAATAATTACTTGTTTCTTTTTTCTTTGAACAAATTGACCAATTTTTCTATCCCGTCAAGAAACTTGTTTCTGAAATCTTCAAATTGCCTAAACCTGATCCTTAATAACCATTCTAAACCTTCAACTGAGTTAAGATTGCACTTGATTTATTTGTCGTATCAACTCCTCAAGGGCATGTTTTGGAGGATTTCTGACACGCAAGAAGAAACATTTGGTTCTTCTAAAAAATTGCAACTGGTCATTAACTGTAAGTATCAAAATAATAGTGTTAGTGGCTTTTAGTGGCTTTTTTAAGCAATTAAAACAAAAATCAAAGAATTCTTACTTTGTCTTCTTGCAATGGTGATTGCAATTGTAACTTTAAACCCCGTATATAATAATTACCGAAAATAATCGTCCGGATCATGTGCACAGATCATGTGTAACCTGGCAACAAATCCGACATATAAAGTTTAATGTGTAAATTGCAGATCATTCTAGAAGATATTTTGTTACACAATCTAATTTTGGAAATTGACCGACTGCAGTCACGAGTTCTAAAAAATGTCTTAACATCAATCACTAAACTATTTAGGTTTAGGGTTCTTCGTGCTACGCCACTCGTCATTTTTTTCCAGATCCTTCCAGTCTTGTATTATTTCATACATTTTAATATCGACATTTTTTCCAGAACTTTCCAATGTCATATATTCATATAAAAGGGTTTGTAATTTTTTTAAAAAATTTTCCGCAAAAATTGTAATGGCAGAGAACACATTCATTGAATTTTTAAAAAAAAAATTTTCTAACTCGAATAACACATCAACTTCTATTTTAGATAGTATCTGCCATCAACTTCAACTGAAGGACATCTTGTGTCTTCTTCGAACATGCAAAGACATTTATAAAACACTTTTAGACCAACCTCGCGAAGGAATACATCTTTCTTGTTTTAGGGAGGAAATGTCAATTTTGTAAAAAAATCCCACCGGGCAAAAACTCGATAAAAATTTATTCGGCTTGGAATGTACGAAGCTGTAGAAAATGTATCGAATCTCGTTTCTCATCAGTTCCACCACCTTGTGAATTGCCATATGAGGAACTCCTTGTTGATAAAACGCCTTTATCCAAATACAATAAAAAGTTTGAAAACTGCAAATTCTACTTGAAAAGTGATGTTGATTCAGCAAGAAACGAGTATAATGCACTCTTACCCGAGAAGAGGGACGAATGGCGTACGAAGAAATCAAATGCATACCAAAGAAAATTGAGGGACATACTGCTCCGTAAAGATAAGATAAGAGAGTACAAAGGTTATCAAGCTGAATATGAGAAAGGTGCCCAAGATCATCGTCTAAAACTTCTAACCTCTAAATGTAAGGAAATGGAGAACGAAAATAACCCATACACTGGTGAAAAGTTTAATTTCATTATTTTACAAAAATGTCAAGCTTACAAGGACGCCTGCAAAAGTAAAGAAGAGATGACAGACCGTCGTTGGGGATATTTGCGCAAAAAACTCATAGAACAACATAGTGATTTCATTTCAAATAAAAAATAAAATGTGATTTTGATCTTTTTTCTTTAATCTGTTCACGTATTTTCAAATGTCAAAAAAACGCGTCTTTCGTTGATCGTTTCATTTTCGTCCCATAATTTACAGATATGATACTAGTTAAATAATTGTAACGATTAATGATTATGTTATTCAATATATAAATTCCACAATATTATATACTTGGACACTAATCTATGATGTAATTTTTCGTTTAGATCAGTTGCTAATTGCTCGTCTGCTTTTGTAACATATAATTTAAGAGGTTCAGTCCTTAAGCATGGACGGCAATGTAGCTTATTTAGGACTTGTTCTACGTGACCGTTTTTGGGTGAACAATGCAACCTTGTCTTCGCAATGAAATTTATAGTGCCCACACTTAACCAATAACTAAAGGCGGAGCTACGAAGTAGACCGGTTCGACAGGCATTTCATAAAAACGTTTGTAGAGAGAAAATACGTAATCGCAGCACTTATTAACACAACTTCACATTTTAGTACAATAAGTAATGGGATTTGACATTTCGCATATATCTGAAACATTACTTTCAGATGTATATTTCGTCCCTTTGCTTTTAAGGCAGAGAATTTGAGTATAATGGCTTTTAGTATTGGTGTATCAAAAAATCCTGATTGGAATTATGCGGGTGAGGGGTATAAAAGTTCTTTTATACATGATTATAACCATTATTTTTCAAGAATTTGGCGATGATGAAGCAATTGTTAGAATTTATAAGGAATTTCAAGAAATATTATCAAGATCGTGAATTTTGAGCGTGGAAAGCTTTATTGCGTCATGCTGGTTTTATTAAGATAACACCTTTTAAAAAAAAATTACATAATTTTAAATTGAAAATTTTTTTTAGCTTCAATTTTGGACGCGGTCAAAAGATCCAGATAAAATCAAAGATATACTACTCCTGAAAACCATACAAAGCAATTTTGGAATGCATTTCATGATGCTTTATAGTTAGTAATATTCGTGAAATTGTTGGTAAAAGAAGAATATTATCTATTATTGCCGATACATTTTCATATGAAACGATAAAACGAAATTTATCGGTTAGTATCGAAATTTTTAAAATTATAAAATAAATTTATATAATACCTGTAATTATTAGGTTTCTAATTAAGCACGTTATTATGTACGTATTAATGGTCCAGGAGGTGTTCAAATGGAAAAACCGAAAATTACTTCTTAACAACTATCACCTGAAAAAAAAGGATCAAATTGAAAATTTTTTCAGAATAAAGCAAACATTCTTACAAAACAGATAATGCCAGTGGATTACCTGTATATTATCTGAAAAATACCAAAAAGATTTGTGGGAACAGTTCCATGAAGAATATCCTGATGGACTTAAAAGAACTACATTTTATGGATATTACAAGGAAACCAATATATATATAAAGAGGATCTCTGTTCAATCTGTAATACATATGGATATGAATCATTTGATGAGTTTCAAAAATTAATACAATGTCACATATCCGCCGATCTGCGGAATGGAGAGATGTACCACCCGTATAACGAGTTTAAAAAAATATATTTCATGCGCACAGACGTGAAATATCCTATATGTTATACAAACAATAATAAAAAGATTTAATTCTGCAAAATGATGTCATAGTATTCTTGCTATACTAAAGATTATCCATGTTAATCTTATTTTTAACAACGAATTAATACCGTCAAATGCTGAGGACTCAAGTGATCAAGAAAATGTCGAAAACAAGATTCAAATTGAAGAAGATTCCACATACCCACTTGACAACAATATCAATCACTGCGCATGTAATAATTAGCAATTTTGTGTGTACGACTATGTACGACCATGCACGACCATGTACGACCAATACCACTTGATCATGGTGTCTTTTATTATGTTACATCATGCATCTCTGTCAATATTCTGGTTTTGGCATTTTAAATAAAATAAATTAACAGAGGAAAAAAATAAGAACATAATAATGTATTAATGAGACCAAAAATAGTAAGATCGTAAGCATGCACATATTTTAATTCTACATAATGATAAGGCGTAATCTGGTGATTCGGAGAACAATTTCCGTTTAGAATTATTAATACTTGTTATTTTCTAGTTTTTTTTTGTTTTTTTTATATTGATCGTTAGACAATTGATTTAGGAAGCTCATTGTTGGAACGCCAAGTCTTATGAAGTAATTTTGAATGAGAAGTTACAAAATAATTTGCCAATCTTGGTGGGTCTCAATTACTTCACCGACAATCATTTCACCGACAATCATTTCACCGACAAACGTTTCACTGACAATACATATATAAAATTAAATATAAATATTTTTACATATATCTTTGTTAATAACACGTATTTCTTTGTCAGATTTTATAATATACAAAAAAAACTACTACTATAGAGGGAATAGCACATACTTTTCACAATAGTTTATTTGTTTTAATAAATGTATATTTGTTAGTTTTAATTATTTTAATGAAATTTATAATAACATATATAAAAAAAATAAAAAAAATACAATAGATATAACTATATGTTATTTTTTTATCTACTAACCCGTCTAAGATGGAAGTAAGCATCAATACTTATTAGATCCAAACTAAATAGTATCTAAATAAAAAGTTTTTATAATATAATATCCCATATTCAATATTTATTTTTTATGGTCATCTTTTATCAATGGATAACGACAACAACAAAAATAACAATAATAAACTAGCGGCAAACGCTCTTTTGATTTTAATAATTTAAAACGCCCAAAACCTATTACTAATAGATCTACTAGATCTACTAGATGAACCAGACCCATTTTGGTCGCTAATTTATTGTTATTCTTAATAAATTAGTAGCATTATTAGTCGCTTATTATATTTTACATGTAGTGAACTAATAAAAATAGCCTCCGATCCTGGTCTTTTTTATTCCACATTTCATCATTCAAAGCACATGCATGAATTGACAGGCACTGAACTTTACTTTCCGAACCAATCAAATTACATTTATCGTAATACGTTTAAAAAATTTTAAACACCGTTCAAATTTATTTATAAAGTTCTTATTTATACAACACATACATTAAAAAAAAGAAATGATGAAACTCCAAAATCTTATGTGTAAATTTTATGGATATATTAACGTTTAATTGAATGAAACATATTTTGTTTAAGAGATGTTAAAAAAGGAAATTCGTGGCATAAGCAAGCTGCATGCTTTACATATGGTAAATTTTGAAAATAACGCTCCAATCTCCGGTATTTTTTTTAACCCTACTTTAGTTTTTTACCGAATTTTACCAGATTTCATAAATTCTTGTTTTATTTTTCTTTTAAAAAAAAAATTCCATTAAATTAGTTGATTAATCAATCCTCCAGTTAATATATCAAGATTTACACAATGCATAAATGACTTCTCATTCATTTTATTGATCATTTGTTTGTTGTACATTTCACGCCATAATTCCATCTAAAAAAAGGACCAATTTTCTTCTCTAAAAAAAAAAAAAAAAAATGGCAAGGCTTAACAAAGACGTAATGCTCCTAATATTGGAGGAATTGCAAGATGATAACAAGACTCTTTATTCATGCCTTTTGGTTAATAGGACTTGGTGTAAAACATTCATTCCAATTTTATGGAAAATCCCAATAAACAAGATATTAACGAACATGTTTTTTTTAATGTAATACTTTCACATTTGTCGGAAGAATCAAGAAATAATTTGATGAATCAAGGGGTTGAATTTATTGCACAACCATATCAGCAAACTCTTTTTAATTATATCAGATTTTGGAAATGTTTTTTAGATAGCATCATGCACGATTTTTTCAAATATCCAGAGTCCAAAATTTATATTGTAGGAAATGAAATATTGAATCTATTTAATATGAATACAAAATTTGTTTCTATTGCTATCCACAAGCTATCCCATATTTATATTACAGGGACTGAGCATTGTTTTTCAGAAATTTTAGAACTTGAATACTTTTTTTGTAATATTGAACTGAAATCAATAGTAATGTTTTAGAGAGATTGGCTATGATAAACACATCAATTAAAAAGTTGAGATTTGAAATTAATAACATTACGAAAAATCCTGGAATCTTAGATTAATTGAAACTCAAAGAAACCTAAAGTAAGTCATTGTTAACTCTAATAATATGTTTAGTAATGAGTTATATTGTAAATCACTAATCGCTAATTAATTGTGCAGATACAATCCAGTATTTAAAAATATATTGAATACCTATTACAAATTATCTTTCTTACCTTGTAAATTTTGTAAGTTTAAAATACAAGGTTGCAAATTGGTTATATTTAACTTATTGAAATCAGAATTCTTTTTCAACATTCCAGAGATAATGAAAAGCTTATCCAGGCAATTTATAGAATCTTAGTTATCTTCAATTATCATTGAATGATAAAAATATTGCAGAATTTGAAAATATATTAATTTACTGTAGATTTTAATTGAACTAGAAATTATGGAATCAAATGGTTTTTATCCTTATAACGACATATGACATGACTACTCAGAAATTAAAACATTTAATGGCTCACTTGCCGGTCGGTATAAATGGTTCCATTCTTTTTACTTCAGCTTGATTAAAATTTGATTCATTTTTACCTCTAAATGACCAACCACCGAAATTAAATGGATCTTTTTATAGGTCTTAATTTGATAAACAATATTCGTGAACCTTTTTCAAAATCATAAATTGCGTTGCATGGTCACGTGACTAATATTTATTTTTAACCATTATGTAGAGAAATTAATAAATACGAAGTTTTATAAAATTATCTAATAAAATAAAATCCGTTCACTGTTTAGATAATTAAAAGAATTTAAATTTGGTAAAATATAGTTAAAAAAACTTAACCTTCAATATAAATTTTTGAAAACAGAACGTTAATACTGTTTGATTTTACATTTAAGAAATGCAAAAAGTCAGGTTAAACAATCATTATTTATGAATTTAATAAAAAAAAATTTGTTACAATTAAGTTAAATTAATGCACATGACTATTACATAAATATCTGTAATTTAAAAATTTAGAGAAAAGGAAAATTGTATTCATTATTTCAAATTATTTTTTAAAACAATTCCAAGTTTCCTAAATTAGGATTCATTTATTGATCTATTTTCATCAAAAATAGATTTAATTTATATATTTTACTTTTATTATTTTTTAAGCATATAATAGTTATAGTTATGATACCCAGAAAATTTTTTTAAAAAAGTTCTTTTTTAATACTATTTGTGTATTTGTAAGTATAATTGTGAGTATGACAGGATTCTTAATTTATAATAATCATTTATTATACTATGTATCGTCAAATTTTTGAGAACATAAAAAAATTACTACTGAATGTAATTATTACAATTATATTAGTATAACGATTTTTGTAAACCTATATAATAAGTTTTATTTGTAAAAATATCAATTCATACCAATTTATTTGTCTACCAATTTCATTGAAGAACATGCTGATAAAAATGTTTCTAATAGTTTTAAAATTTTTCAAAAACTAAGCTTGTTTATTTTTAAATTAACATCTTTTTATTTAGATTCTACTTAAATAGAGCTTTTAATTAAGTTTATTTAAATAATAGAATGTTAAAATACATAAATTGTTTGAAATTTTGCGTATGGCTACTATAATGAAACACTGTGAAATTCGACACATCGGACCAATCTGTTTCAATAGAAACTTTTTTAGAATTTGGTACGATGCAGATCAGTGCATCGGAAAAAATGACCCGAAAAAAATTCATTTTTATTGTAATTTCTACTTTTGGTCAAATATTCCCTTTTTAGTAACTCATTCATGGCACATTGAATAAAAAAAAAAAAATAAAATTTTTTTTTTAAAAAAATTTATTTTAATAAAATAAATTTCTAAAATAACCAAATGGGAACTAACCTTAATAATTTAAATATCCCAGATAAAGATACTGATACGATAAATACCAAAAATTGTTATGAACCATATACTGAAGAATTATGGCGTAAAGAATGTATTAATTCTTTAGAAAGATCAGCAGAAAATGGTGATAAAGTAGCAATATTTAATTTAGCTAATAGATATAGAGATGGAAAAGGAACAGAAAAGAATTTTAAAAAAGCCTTTTATTGGTATCAAAAAGCAGCCGAAAATGGTTATGAAGAAGCAATGAATAGTTTAGCCATATGTTATTATCATGGAAAAGGAGCAGAAAAGGATTTAGAAAAAGCATTTCATTGGTGTCAAAAAGCAGTAGAAAATGGTAGTGAAAAAGCAATGTTTAATTTAGCCATATTTTATGAAAATGGAGAAGGAACAGAAAAGAATTTAGAAAAAGCCTTTTATTGGTATCAAAAAGCAGCAGAAAATGGTGAT